ATTAAAAACTAGGGCCCCGGTGGGGCACTGGCGGGCCCGAGCCGTGTCGCGCCGCCCCCAGCACGACCGCCTCCCCCTCCCGATCGCGTCACACTCAAGGTCCAAAGATGGTGTGCGCACTTGTCTGTGGTCATTTACCATTATAATGAATGGGAGGCGCAGTTTCTACCAAAACGCTCGCTGCAGACAAACTACATGTCCTATTTGAAAAAAGTCTGGAACATGAGTGAGGGCACAAACACAGCTTCGATATATCCAAATGGCAAGTTGCTCCTCTTTTCGGTTTTGCCGAGAGAGTGATGCGTTTGAGCCATTGAGCGATGGGCAGGAAAAACTTGACTTTTTCTCCTGCCATAGGGGGGCGCTCTTTTTGGGGAGAAAAAATTCCTTCACAAATGTGTTGATGGCTGAACATTGCATCATCCTAGAAAACTTGGAGGCCAGTGAGGACAAAAATAAAAGTTACAAGACTTTTAAGAATGTGGATATTTGGGTCCTCTCTGGCGCCCCCTTGAACCTAAACCGTGGGGTGCAGCGTCATGATTTGTACAACGTTGAATGGCCATGGGGTGTAGATTGGCCTGAGCAAATTTGGTGTCAGTGGGACGAAAGCTTTAGGAGGAGTTAGCCACATTCCAATGTGTGGAATGTGGATTTTTGGGTCATCTTTGGCGCCCCCTAGAACGTAAACCGTGTAGTGCAGGGTCATGATTTTTACAACTTTGAATGGCCATGGGGTGTAGATTGGCCTGAGCAAATTTGGTGTCAGTGGGACGAAAGCCTTAGGAGTAGTTAGCCACATTCCAATGTGTGCGGATCGGCAAAAAATGCAAAATAGCCCTTTAACCGTACATTTTACAGATACGCGCGCATTAACTTTTTCGTAGATCTTATTGAGATACACGTGATTGTCAAATTTTGTGTCAATATGACAAAGCGTACAGGCGTGACACTCAACAATGTGTATTTTCACCTCAGGGGACAAGAAAAAATTGATTTTTTCTCCTGCCATGGGGGGGCGCTCTTTTGGGGAGTAAAAATTCCTTCACAAATGTGTTGATGGCTGGACATTGCATCATCCTAGAGAACTTGGAGGCCAGTGAGGACAAAAATTAAAAGTTATAAGACTTTTAAATATGTGGATTTTAGGGTTATCTTTGGCGCCCCCTAGAACCTAAACCGTGGGGTGCAGCGTCATGATTTGTACAACTTTGAATGACCATGGGGTGTAGATTGGCCTGAGCAAATGTGGTGCCGGTGAAACGAAAGCCTTCGGAGGAGTTAGCGAAATTCCAATGTGTGCGGATCGGCCAAAAATGCGAAATAGCCCTTTTACCGTAAATTTGACAGATACGCCTGCACTGACTTTTTTGTAGATCTTATTGAGATACATGTGTGTGTCAATTTTTGTGTCAATATGACAAAGTGTACAGGCGCGACAGTCAATCATGTGAATTTTCACCTTTGGGGGCGCTATGGAGCCATTTTGCATTTTATTGTTTGTGCGACTTCAGAATATCGAATTTTTCACCAGGCCCGGTCGTCCTGCCAAATTTCATGAGTTTTCGCCAGTGGGAAGTGGGCCATTTTCCCCTTCAAAGGGGAGGAAAAATAAGAAGAACTAGGGCCCCGGTGGGGCACTGGCGGGCCCGAGCCGTGTCGCGCCGCCCCCAGCGCGACCGCTTCCCCTCCCGATCGCGTCACACTCAAGGTCCAAAGATGGTGTGCGCACTTGTCTGTGGTCATTTACCATTATAATGAATGGGAGGCGCAGTTTCTACCAAAACGCTCGCTGCAGGTCCTTTTTGAAAAAATTCTGGACCATGAGTGAGGGCACAAACACAGCTAGTATATATCCAAATGGCAAGTTGCTCCTCCTTTCGGTTTTGCCGAGAGAGCGATGCGTTTGAGCCATATGGATGGGCAGGAAAAACTTCACTTTTTCTCCTGCCATGGGGGGGCGCTCTTTTGGGGAGAAAAAATTCCTTTACAAATGTGTTGATGGCTGGACATTGCATCATCCTAGAAAACTTGGAGGCCAGTGAGGACAAAAATAAAAAGTTATAAGACTTTTTAAAATGTGGATATTTGGGTCCTCTTTGGCGCCCCCTAGAACGTATACCGTGGGGTGCAGCGTCATGATTCGTACAACTTTGAATGGCCATGGGGTGTAGATTGGCCTGAGCAAATTTGGTGTCAGTGGGACGAAAGCCTTAGGAGGAGTTAGCCACATTCCAATGTGTACGAATCGGCAAAAAATGCGAAATAGCCCTTTAACCGTACATTTTACAGATACGCGCGCATTGACTTTTTCGTAGATCTTATTGAGATACACGTGATTGTCAAATTTTGTGTCAATATGACAAATCGTATAGGCGTGACATTCAACAATGTGTATTTTCGCCTTAGGGGACAAGAAAAAATGGCCTTTTTTCTCCTGCCATGGGGGGGCGCTCTTTTGGGGAGTAAAAATTCCTTCACAAATGTGTTGATGGCTGGACATTGCATCATCCTAGAGAACTTGAAGGCCAGTGAGGACAAAAATAAAAAGTTATAAGACTTTTAAGAATGTGGATTTTTGGGTTATCTTTGGCGCCCCCTAGAACCTAAACCGTGGGGTGCAGCGTCATGATTTGTACAACTTTTAATGGCCATGGGGTGTAGATTGGCCTGAGCAAATGTGGTGCTGGTGGAACGAAAGCCTTTGGAGGAGTTAGCGAAATTCCAATGTGTGCGGATCGGCAAAAAATGCGAAATAACCCTTTAACCGTACATTTGACAGATACGCCTGCACTGACTTTTTTGTAGATCTTATTGAGATACATATGTGTGTCAATTTTTGTGTCAATATGACAAAGCGTACAGGCGTGACAGTCAATGGTGTGAATTTTCACCTTTGGGGGCGCTATGGAGCCATTTTGCATTTTATTGTTTGGGCGACTTCAGAATATCGAATTTTTCACCAGGCCCGGTCGTCCTGCCAAATTTCGTCCTGCCAAATTTCATGAGTTTTCGCCAGTGGGAAGTGAGTTTTTTTCCAGTTTAAAGCGGAGGAAAAATAATAATAACTAGGGCCCCGGTGGGGCACTGTCGGGCCCGAGCCGCGTTGCGCCGCCCCCAGCGTGACCGCCTCCCCCTCCCGATCGCGTCACACTCAAGGTCCAAAGATGGTGTGCGCACTTGTCTGTGGTCATTTCCCATTATAATGAATGGGAGGCGCAGTTTCTACCAAAACGCTCGCTGCAGACAAACTACATGTCCTATTTGAAAAAAGTCTGGACCATGAGTGAGGGCACAAACACAGCTAGTATATATCCAAATGGCAAGTTGCTCCTCCTTTCGGTTTTGCAGAGAGAGCGATGCGTTTGAGCCATTGAGCGATGGGCAGGAAAAACTTGACTTTTTCTCCTGCCATGGGGGGGCGCTCTTTTGGGGAGAAAAAATTCCTTCACAAATGTGTTGATGGCTGGACATTGCATCATCCTAGAAAACTTGGAGGCCAGTGAGGACAAAAATAAAAAGTTATAAGACTTTTAAAAATGTGGATATTTGGGTCCTCTTTGGCGCCCCCTAGAACGTAAACTGTGGGGTGCAGCGTCATGATTTGTACAACTTTGAATGGCCATGGGGTGTAGATTGACCTGAGCAAATTTGAAGCCGATGGGACAAAAGATTTAGGAGGAGTTAGCGAAATTCCAATGTGTGCGGATCGGCAAAAAATGCGAAATAACCCTTTAACCGTACATTTGACAGATACGCCCGCACTGACTTTTTTGTAGATCTTATTGAGATACATGTGTGTGTCAAATTTTGTGTCATTTTGACAAAGCGTAAAGGCGTGACAGTCAACAATGTGTATTTTCGCCTTAGGAGACAAGAAAAAATGGACTTTTTTCTCCTGCCATGGGGGGGCGCTCTTTTGGCGAGTAAAAATTCCTTCACAAATGTGTTGATGGCTGGACATTGCATCATCCTAGAGAACTTGGAGGCCAGTGAGGACAAAAATAAAAAGTTATAAGACTTTTAAGACTGTGGATTTTTGGGTTATCTTTGGCGCCCCCTAGAACGTAAACCGTGGGGTGCAGCGTCATGATTTGTACAACTTTTAATGGCCATGGGGTGTAGATTGGCCTCAGCAAATGTGGTGCCTTTGGAACGAAAGCCTTCGGAGGAGTTAGCGAAATTCCAATGTGTGCGGATCGGCAAAAAATGCGAAATAGCCCTTTCACCGTACATTTGACAGATACGCCCGCACTGACTTTTTTTGTAAATCTTATTGAGATACATGTGTGTGTCAATTTTTGTGTCAATATGACAAAGCGTAAAGGCGTGACAGTCAATAGTGTGAATTTTCGCCTTAGGAGACAAGAAAAAATGGACTTTTTTCTCCTGCCATGGGGGGGCGCTCTTTTGGGGAGTAAAAATTCCTTCACAAATGTGTTGATGGCTGGACATTGCATCATCCTAGAAAACTTGGAGGCCAGTGAGGACAAAAATAAAAAGTTATACGACTTTTAAGAATGTGGATTTCTGGGTTATCTTTGGCGCCCCCTAGAACGTAAACCGTGGGATGCAGCGTCATGATTTGTACAACTTTTAATGGCCATGGGGTGTAGATTGGCCTGAGCAAATTTGGTGCCGGTGGAACGAAAGCCTTCGGAGGAGTTAGCGAAATTCCAATGTGTGCGGATCGGCAAAAAATGCGAAATAGCCCTTTAACCGTATATTTGACAGATACGCCCGCACTGACTTTTTTGTAGATCTTATTGAGATACACGTGTGTGTCAAATTTTGTGTCATTTTGACAAAGCGTACAGGCGTGACACTCAATCATGTGAATTTTTCACCTTAGGGGGCGCTATGGAGCCATTTTGCATTTGATTTTTTGGGCGACTTCAGAATATCGAATTTTTCACCAGGCCCGGTCGTCCTGCCAAATTTCATGACTTTTCACCAGTGGGAAGTGGGCCATTTTCCAGTTCAAAGGGGCAGAAAAATAATAATAAGAAGACTAGGGCCCCGGTGGGGCACTGTCGGGCCCGAGCCGCGTCGCGCCGCCCCCAGCGCGACCGCCTCCCCCTCCCGATTGCATTACACTCAAGGTCCAAAAATGGTGTGCGCACTTGTCTGTGGTCATTTCCCATTATAATGAATGGGAGGCGCAGTTTCTACCAAAACGGTCGCTGCAGACAAACTACATGTCCTATTTGAAAAAAGTCTGGACCATGAGTGAGGGCACAAACACAGCTAGGATATATCCAAATGGCAAGTTGCTCCTCCTTACGGTGTTGCCGGGAGAGCGATGCGATTGAGCCATTGAGCGATGGGCAGGGTTAACTGACTTTTCTCTGTGCCTTGGGGGGGGGGGTGGGGGGGGGGGGGGGGATGTGGATTCTTTTAAGAATGTGGATATTTGGGTCATCTTTGGCGCCCCCTAGAACGTAAACCATGGGGTGCAGCGGCATGATTTTTACAACTTTGAATGGCCATGGGATGTAGATTGGCTTGAGCAAATTTGGTGTCGGTGGGAAGAAAGCCTTAGGAGGAGTTAGCCACATTCCAATGTGTGCGAATCGGCAAAAAATGCGAAATAGCCCTTTAACCGTACATTTTACAGATACGTGCCCATTGACTTTTTCGTAGATCTTATTGAGATACACGTGTGTGTCAAATTTTGTGTCATTTTGACAAAGCGTATAGGCGTGACAGTCAACAATGTGTTTTTTCACCTTAGGGGACAAGAAAAAATGGACTTTTTTCTCCTGCCATGGGGGGGCGCCCTTTTCGGGAGTAAAAATTCCTTTACAAATGTGTTGATGGCTGGACATTGCATCATCCTAGAAAACTTGGAGGCCAGTGAGGACAAAAATAAAAAGTTATAAGACTATTAAGAATGTGGATTTTTGGGTTATCTTTGGCGCCCCCTAGAACGTAAACCGTGGAGTGCAGCGTCATGATTTTTACAACTTTTAATGGCCATGGGGTGTAGATTGGCCTGAGCAAATTTGGTGGCGGTGGAACTAAAGCCTTCGGAGGAGTTAGCGAAATTCCAATGTGTGCGGATCGGGAAAAAATGCGAAATAACCCTTTAACCGTACATTTTACAGATACGTGCACATTGACTTTTTCGTAGATCTTATTGAGATACACGTGTGTGTCAAATTTTGTATCATTTTGACAAAGCGTATAGGCGTGACAGTCAACAATGTGTTTTTTCACCTTAGGGGACAAGAAAAAATGGACTTTTTTCTCCTGCCATGGGGGGGCGCCCTATTCGGGAGTAAAAATTCCTTCACAAATGTGTTGATGGCTGGACATTGCATCATCCTAGAGAACTTGGAGGCCAGTGAGGACAAAAATAAAAAGTTATAAGACTTTTAAGACTGTGGATTTTTGGGTTATCTTTGGCGCCCCCTAGAACGTAAACCGTGGGGTGCAGCGTCATGATTTGTACAACTTTTAATGGCCATGGGGTGTAGATTGGCCTGAGCAAATGTGGTGCCGGTGGAACGAAAGCCTTCGGAGGAGTTAGCGAAATTCCAATGTGTGCAGATCGGCAAAAAATGCGAAATAACCCTCTAACCGTACATTTCACAGATGCGCCCGCGCTGACTTTTTCGTAGACCGTATTGAGATACACGTGTGTGTCAATTTTTGTGTCAAAATGACAAAGCGTACAGGCGTGACAGTCAATAGTGTGAATTTTCGCCTTAGGGGGCGCTATGGAGCCATTTTGCATTTTATTGTTTGGGCGACTTCAGAATATCGAATTTTTCACCGGGCCCGGTCGTCCTGCCAAATTTCCTGAGTTTTCGCCAGTGGGAAGTGGGCCATTTTCCCCTTCAAAGGGGAGGAAAAATAAGAAGAAAGAAAGAAAGAAAGAAAGACTAGGGCCCCGTTGGGGCACTGGCGGGCCCGAGCCGCGTTGCGCCGCCCCCAGTGCGACCGCCTCCCCCTCCCGATCGCGTCACACTCAAGGTCCAAAGATGGTGTGCGCACTTGTCTGTGGTCATTTCCCATTATAATGAATGGGAGGCGCAGTTTCTACCAAAACACTCGCTGCAGACAAACTACATGTCCTATTTGAAAAAAGTCTGGACCATGAGTGAGGCCACAAACACAGCTAGGATATATCCAAACGGCAAGTTGCTCCTTGTTACGGTGTTGCCGGGAGAGCGATGCGATTGAGCCATTGAGTGATGGGCAGGAAAAACTTGACTGTTTCTCCTGCCATGGGGGATGGGGGATGGGGGGGGATGTGGATTCTTTTAAGAATGTGGATATTTGGGTCATCTTTGGCGCCCCCTAGAACGTGAGCCGTGGGGTGCAGCGTCATGATTTTTACAACTTTGAATGGCCATGGGGTGTAGATTGGCCTGAGCAAATTTGGTGTCAGTGGGACGAAAGCCTTAGGAGGAGTTAGCCACATTCCAATGTGTGCGAATCGGCAAAAAATGCAAAATAGCCCTTTAACCGTACATTAGACAGATACACGCCCATTGACTTTTTCGTAGATCTTATTGAGATACACGTGAATGTCAAATTTTGTGTCAATATGACAAAGCGTATAGGCGTGAATCTCAACAATATGTATTTTCACCTTAGGGGACAAGAAAAAATGGACTTTTTTCTCCTGCCATGGGGGGGCGCTCTTTTGGGGAGTAAAAATTCCTTCACAAATGTGTTGATGGCTGGACATTGCATCATCCTAGAAAACCTGGAGGCCAGTGAGGACAAAAATAAGAAGTTATAAGACTTTTAAATATGTGGATTTTAGGGTTATCTTTGGCGCCCCCTAGACCCTAAACCGTGGGGTGCAGCGTCATGATTTGAATAACTTTTAATGGCCATGGGGTGTAGATTGGCCTGAGCAAATGTGGTGCCAGTGGAACGAAAGCCTTAGGAGGAGTTAGCCACATTCCAATGTGTGCGGATCGGCAAAAAATGCGGAATAACCCTTTAACCGTACATTTGACAGATATGCGCGCATTGACTTTTTCGTAGATCTTATTGAGATACATGTGTGTGTTAATATTTGTGTCATTTTGCCAAAGCGTACAGGCGTGACACTAAACAATGTGTATTTTCACCTTAGGGGACAAGAAAAAATAGACTTTTTTCTCCTGCCATGGGGGGCGCTCTTTTGGGGAGTAAAATTTCCTTCACAAATGTGTTGATGGCTGGACATTGCATTATCCTAGAAAACTTGGAGGCCAGTGAGGACAAAAATAAAAAGTTATAAGACTTTTAAGAATGTGGATTTTTGGGTTATCTTTGGCGCCCCCTAGAACCTTCACTGTGGGTTGCAGCGTCATGATTTGTACAACTTTTAATGGCCATGGGGTGTAGATTGGCCTGAGCAAATTTGGTGCCGGTGGAACGAAAGCCTTCGGAGGAGTTAGCGAAATTCCAATGTGTGCGGATCGGCAAAAAATGCAAAATAGCCCTTTAACCGTACATTATACAGATACGCGCTCTATGACTTTTTTGTAGATCTTATTGAGATACACGTGATTGTCAAATGTTTTGTCAATATGACAAAGCGTTTAGGCGTGACACTCAACAATGTGTATTTTCATGTTAGGGGACAAGAAAAAAGGACTTTTTTCTCCTGCCATGGGGGGGCGCTCTTTTGGGGAGTAAAAATTCCTTCACAAATGTGTTGATGGCTGGACATTGCATCATCCTAGAAAACTTGGAGGCCAGTGAGGACAAAAATAAAAAGTTATAAGACTTTTAAGAATGTGGATTTTGGGTTATCTTTGGCGCCCCCTAGAACGTAAACCGTGGGGTGCAGCGTCATGATTTGTACAACTTTTAATGGCCATGGGGTGTAGATTGGCCTGAGCAAATGTGGTGCCGGTGGAACGAAAGCCTTCGGAGGAGTTAGCGAAATTCCAATGTGTGCGGATCGGCAAAAAATGCGAAATAACCCTTTAACCGTACATTTGACAGATACGCCCGCACTGACTTTTTTGTAGATCTTATTGAGATACACATGTGTGTCAAATTTTGTGTCATTTTGACAAAGTGTACAGGCGTCAGGTGAGTTTTCACCATAGGGGGCGCTATGCAGCCATTTTTCATTTTTTTGTTTGGGCGACTTCAGAATATCAAATTTTTCACCAGGCCCGGTCGTCCTGCCAAATTTCCTGAGTTTTCGCCAGTGGGAAGTGGGCCATTTTCCAGTTTAAAGCGGAGGAAAAATAACGAAAGAAGAATCCATCAGGAACAAGAGGGCTCTCGCAGCTGCTTAGCAGCTACGCTCGGGCCCTAAAGAAAGAAAAACCTATACAAGAATAATAGGGCTCTACGCCCGGCTGCTCTGCAGCTGGCTCGGGCCCTAAAGAAGAAACTAGGGCCCCGTTGGGGCACTGGCGGGCCCGAGCCGTGTCGCACCCCCCCCCCCCCCCCCCAACGCGCTGCCTCCCCGTCCCATTCGCGTCCTCTGGCCATCGCCCTCTCTGGTAACGCCCATCACTGCAAAGACCCTTTTCCTTCATCGGCGTTTGCTGTTCTTCCTGCCAGTGCGTGTTGCTTTCACTTACACTTGCCACAGCCAGCCTCGTGAGTGCCTAGCCTATTGGATATCACTGTCACCTACACAGGACAGTCATACTTTGTTTTTTAATTTCACATTAATTTCCTTATTGTATAAACGCCTGGAAAAAACTTGAGCCCCTGCCCCTGTATAATCATGTGCACGTCCTGTTCTAGCTCCAAGGTGAATCTTCACTGCTCATGTTCTCCTCAGAAGCACTCACCTCACTCCCCTCAGGTTACTGTACACATGCACCAACTGCCTGCTTCAGGTTTGGATGGAGCTTCATGGTTGTCTTTTGGAGAAATGACCAGTCAAGTTGTGTTTGAAATTTGATTTTTTTCAGGGGCAAAAGGAGCCTCTGCATTCTTGTCAAATATGTAAATAGCATGTTTTTGCAGGTGCTAAAAAACAGACTCTGAGTGTGTGTGTGTGTGTGTGTGTGTGTGTGTGTGTGTGTGTGTGTGTGTGTGTGTGTGTGTGTGTGTCTGTGTGTGTGTGTGTGTGTGTATCCTGCAGTACTCTGAGAAGAATAATAAGAATATTTCTGAGGTGAATTTTGAAGATTCATCTGAGAGTTAGGTTTGATTCGATTCGATTGACGCTCCCCAGCGTTCAAGTCACATGACATATTTAACCGGATGTAGCTGCAAGACGGAGCCTCGTTAACTCTCCGTTTCAACTTATCTCAAAAGTGAGGACCTCAACCTATATACCAGTTTTTAAATTGCGTTGATAGGCCAAATAAAACCAGAGTTATGATAAATTATGTCCGCGATACTTTTTTTCTGCTTATTTTGATCACGTTCGGCGCTCGATCGCGCTGTATGAGACAGGAAAACATAGCATGCACACATTAGCGACAGGTCTTACAGGCGGAAAAGGCTTGCCAAAAGAAAAAAAAAACACACCACAACATCTCTCCTATTGGTGGAAAACTTCACCACAACAACCAATCCAAAATTATATGGTGACTGATTGACAAGGGGCGGGCGCTTACGTTCTTCCTGCAACATGAGAAGGGAGGGAGGGACTCTCAGCAGGGATGCAGTCTGGGACACGTAGTTGCAAACCTAGCGACTTTGTTGTTAGATTCAATGACTTTTCAGACCCCCTAACGACTTTTTTTTAGAAAGAAAGGGACTTTTATCGACTTCTTCTGGAGTTTAGAGACTCTGACATGAAGCAGGCTTTCCTTACTGAGGAGTTAGCAACGCTGCTAAGGGTGCAGAGCCACACATGCGCTCCGAGCTCTGCATGGGAGACTGAAGCTGACAGAGCTGCAGCAGTTAGCAGGTTTCACCCTCAGAGACCACCAGGGGTTCATGTTGAGGCATTTTCAGTTTTTGTTTTTTTTGCCATAGACTGTCAGCACAATCTGCAGTTACACTAACAAAAATGCTGCAAAAAACAAAGAATTATGGAAAAATTACACATGGACTGACATAGAGGAGGATCTGCACAAGTTTTTTACATCATGTTTTACATCATGCATCATTTACATCATGTTTTTTTGTAGTGGCATAAATAAAAAGTGACATTTGTGAGACTATACAGTGTTTTGTAAATAATTTTACAAAGAACGCCTGGGCCATTGCCTGCATTTTGATGTAAATAGAGGTAAATTACTATGTTCTTTGTTAAAAATTTGCATATGTTTTGAAGTTTACAATTTTTATTTGAAGTTTAAGTTTTAAAAACAGTTCATCACACATATTTGTGTTTTAATTTCACATTAATTTCCATATTGTATAAATGACTGGAAAAAACTTGAGCCCCTGCCCCTGTATTATCATGTGCACGTCCCTGTTCTAGCTCCAAGGTGAATCTTCACTGCTCATGTTCTCCTCAGAAATAGTCACCTCACTCCCCTCAGGTTACTGTACACATGCACCAACTATCTGCTTCAGGTTTGGATGGAGCTTCATGGTTGTCTTTTGGAGAAATGAACAGTCAAGTTGTGTTTGAAATCTGATTTTTTTCAGGGGCAAAAGGAAGCCTCTGCATTCTTGTCAAATATGTAAACAGCATGTTTTTGCAGGTGCTAAAAAACAGACTCTGAGTGTGTGTGTGTGTGTGTGTGTGTGTGTGTGTGTGTGTGTATATGTGTGTGTATCCTGCAGTACTCTGTACTCCTGCAGTGGCCAAAAAGACTTTTAAGAATGTGGATTTTTGGGTCATCTTTGGCGCCCCCTAGAACTGCAGTACTCTGTACTCCTGCAGTGGCCAAAATGACTTTTAAGAATGTGGATTTTTGGGTCATCTTTGGTGCCCCCTAGAACGTAAACCGTGGGGTGCAGCGTCATGATTTTTTTTCAACTTTGAATGGGCATGGGGTGTAGATTGCCCTGAGCAAATTTGGTATCGGTGGGACGAAAGCCTTAGGAGGAGATAGCCACATTCCAATGTGTGCGAATCGGCAAAAAATGCGAAATAGCCCTTTAACCGTACATTATACAGATACGCGCTTTTTGACTTTTTCGTAGATCTAATTGAGATACACGTGATTGTCAATTTTTGTGTCAATATGACAAAGCGTTCAGGCATGACACTCAACAATGTGTATTTTCATGTAAGGGGACAAGAAAAAATTGACTTTTTTCTCCTGCCATGGGGGGGCGCTCTTTTGGGGAGTAAAAATTCCTTCACAAATGTGTTGATGGCTGGACATTGCATCATCCTAGAAAACTTGGAGGGCAGTGAGGACAAAAATAAAAAGTTATAAGACTTTTAAGAATGTGGATTTTGGGTTATCTTTGGCGCCCCCTAGAACGTAAACCGTGGGGTGCAGCGTCATGATTTGTACAACTTTTAATGGCCATGGGGGGTAGATTGGCCTGCGCAAATGTGGTGCCGGTCGAACGAAAGCCTTCGGAGGAGTTAGCGAAATTCCAATGTGTGCAGATCTGCAAAAAATGCAAAATAACCCATTAACCGTACATTTGACAGATACGCCCGTACTGACTTTTTTGTAGATGTTATTGAGATACATGTGTGTGTCAATTTTTGTGTCAATATGACAAAGCGTACAGCCGTCATGTGAATTTTCACCTTAGGGGGCGCTATGGAGCCATTTTGCATTTTATTGTTTGGGCGACTTCAGAATATCGAATTTTTCACCAGGCCCGGTCGTCCTGCCAAATTTCCTGAGTTTTCGCCAGTGGGAAGTGGGCCATTTTCCAGTTTAAAGCGGAGGAAAAATAATAACGAACTAGGGCCCCGGTGGGGCACTGGCGGGCCCGAGCCGTGTCGCGCCGCCCCCAGCGCGACCGCTTCCCCTCCCGATCGCGTCACACTCAAGGTCCAAAGATGGTGTGCGCACTTGTCTGTGGTCATTTACCATTATAATGAATGGGAGGCGCAGTTTCTACCAAAACACTCGCTGCAGGTCCTTTTTGAAAAAATTCTGGACCATGAGTGAGGGCACAAACACAGCTAGTATATATCCAAATGGCAAGTTGCTCCTCCTTTCGGTTTTGCCGAGAGAGCGATGCGTTTGAGCCATATGGATGGGCAGGAAAAACTTCACTTTTTCTCCTGCCATGGGGGGGCGCTCTTTTGGGGAGAAAAAATTCCTTTACAAATGTGTTGATGGCTGGACATTGCATCATCCTAGAAAACTTGGAGGCCAGTGAGGACAAAAATAAAAAGTTATAAGACTTTTTAAAATGTGGATATTTGGGTCCTCTTTGGCGCCCCCTAGAACGTATACCGTGGGGTGCAGCGTCATGATTTGTACAACTTTGAATGGCCATGGGGTGTAGATTGGCCTGAGCAAATTTGGTGTCAGTGGGACGAAAGCCTTAGGAGGAGTTAGCCACATTCCAATGTGTACGAATCGGCAAAAAATGCGAAATAGCCCTTTAACCGTACATTTTACAGATACGCGCGCATTGACTTTTTCGTAGATCTTATTGAGATACACGTGATTGTCAAATTTTGTGTCAATATGACAAATCGTATAGGCGTGACATTCAACAATGTGTATTTTCGCCTTAGGGGACAAGAAAAAATGGCCTTTTTTCTCCTGCCATGGGGGGGCGCTCTTTTGGGGAGTAAAAATTCCTTCACAAATGTGTTGATGGCTGGACATTGCATCATCCTAGAGAACTTGGAGGCCAGTGAGGACAAAAATAAAAAGTTATAAGACTTTTAAGAATGTGGATTTTTGGGTTATCTTTGGCGCCCCCTAGAACCTAAACCGTGGGGTGCAGCGTCATGATTTGTACAACTTTTAATGGCCATGGGGTGTAGATTGGCCTGAGCAAATGTGGTGCTGGTGGAACGAAAGCCTTTGGAGGAGTTAGCGAAATTCCAATGTGTGCGGATCGGCAAAAAATGCGAAATAACCCTTTAACCGTACATTTGACAGATACGCCTGCACTGACTTTTTTGTAGATCTTATTGAGATACATATGTGTGTCAATTTTTGTGTCAATATGACAAAGCGTACAGGCGTGACAGTCAATGGTGTGAATTTTCACCTTTGGGGGCGCTATGGAGCCATTTTGCATTTTATTGTTTGGGCGACTTCAGAATATCGAATTTTTCACCAGGCCCGGTCGTCCTGCCAAATTTCGTCCTGCCAAATTTCATGAGTTTTCGCCAGTGGGAAGTGAGTTTTTTTCCAGTTTAAAGCGGAGGAAAAATAATAATAACTAGGGCCCCGGTGGGGCACTGTCGGGCCCGAGCCGCGTCGCGCCGCCCCCAGCGCGACCGCCTCCCCCTCCCGATCGCGTCACACTCAAGGTCCAAAGATGGTGTGCGCACTTGTCTGTGGTCATTTCCCATTATAATGAATGGGAGGCGCAGTTTCTACCAAAACGCTCGCTGCAGACAAACTACATGTCCTATTCGAAAAAAGTCTGGACCATGAGTGAGGGCACAAACACAGCTAGTATATATCCAAATGGCAAGTTGCTCCTCCTTTCGGTTTTGCAGAGAGAGCGATGCGTTTGAGCCATTGAGTGATGGGCAGGAAAAACTTGACTTTTTCTCCTGCCATGGGGGGGCGCTCTTTTGGGGAGAAAAAATTCCTTCACAAATGTGTTGATGGCTGGACATTGCATCATCCTAGAAAACTTGGAGGCCAGTGAGGACAAAAATAAAAAGTTATAAGACTTTTAAAAATGTGGATATTTGGGTCCTCTTTGGCGCCCCCTAGAACGTAAACTGTGGGGTGCAGCGTCATGATTTGTACAACTTTGAATGGCCATGGGGTGTAGATTGACCTGAGCAAATTTGAAGCCGATGGGACAAAAGATTTAGGAGGAGTTAGCGAAATTCCAATGTGTGCGGATCGGCAAAAAATGCGAAATAACCCTTTAACCGTACATTTGACAGATACGCCCGCACTGACTTTTTTGTAGATCTTATTGAGATACATGTGTGTGTCAAATTTTGTGTCATTTTGACAAAGCGTAAAGGCGTGACAGTCAACAATGTGTATTTTCGCCTTAGGAGACAAGAAAAAATGGACTTTTTTCTCCTGCCATGGGGGGCGCTCTTTTGGCGAGTAAAAATTCCTTCACAAATGTGTTGATGGCTGGACATTGCATCATCCTAGAGAACTTGGAGGCCAGTGAGGACAAAAATAAAAAGTTATAAGACTTTTAAGACTGTGGATTTTTGGGTTATCTTTGGCGCCCCCTAGAACGTAAACCGTGGGGTGCAGCGTCATGATTTGTACAACTTTTAATGGCCATGGGGTGTAGATTGGCCTCAGCAAATGTGGTGCCTTTGGAACGAAAGCCTTCGGAGGAGTTAGCGAAATTCCAATGTGTGCGGATCGGCAAAAAATGCGAAATAGCCCTTTCACCGTACATTTGACAGATACGCCCGCACTGACTTTTTTGTAGATCTTATTGAGATACATGTGTGTGTCAATTTTTGTGTCAATATGACAAAGCGTAAAGGCGTGACAGTCAATAGTGTGAATTTTCGCCTTAGGAGACAAGAAAAAATGGACTTTTTTCTCCTGCCATGGGGGGCGCTCTTTTGGGGAGTAAAAATTCCTTCACAAATGTGTTGATGGCTGGACATTGCATCATCCTAGAGAACTTGGAGGCCAGTGAGGACAAAAATAAAAAGTTATAAGACTTTTAAGACTGTGGATTTTTGGGTTATCTTTGGCGCCCCCTAGAACGTAAACCGTGGGGTGCAGCGTCATGATTTGTACAACTTTTAATGGCCATGGGGTGTAGATTGGCCTCAGCAAATGTGGTGCCTTTGGAACGAAAGCCTTCGGAGGAGTTAGCGAAATTCCAATGTGTGCGGATCGGCAAAAAATGCGAAATAGCCCTTTCACCGTACATTTGACAGATACGCCCGCACTGACTTTTTTGTAGATCTTATTGAGATACATGTGTGTGTCAATTTTTGTGTCAATATGACAAAGCGTAAAGGCGTGACAGTCAATAGTGTGAATTTTCGCCTTAGGAGACAAGAAAAAATGGACTTTTTTCTCCTGCCATGGGGGGGCGCTCTTTTGGGGAGTAAAAATTCCTTCACAAATGTGTTGATGGCTGGACATTGCATCATCCTAGAAAACTTGGAGGCCAGTGAGGACAAAAATAAAAAGTTATACGACTTTTAAGAATGTGGATTTCTGGGTTATCTTTGGCGCCCCCTAGAACGTAAACCGTGGGATGCAGCGTCATGATTTGTACAACTTTTAATGGCCATGGGGTGTAGATTGGCCTGAGCAAATTTGGTGCCGGTGGAACGAAAGCCTTCGGAGGAGTTAGCGAAATTCCAATGTGTGTGGATCGGCAAAAAATGCGAAATAGCCCTTTAACGGTACATTTGACAGATACGCCCGCACTGACTTTTTTGTAGATCTTATTGAGATACATGTGTGTGTCAATTTTTGTGTCAATATGACAAAGCGTACAGCCGTCATGTGAATTTTCACCTTAGGGGGCGCTATGGAGCCATTTTGCATTTTATTGTTTGGGCGACTTCAGAATATCGAATTTTTCACCAGGCCCGGTCGTCCTGCCAAATTTCCTGAGTTTTCGCCAGTGGGAAGTGGGCCATTTTCCAGTTTAAAGCGGAGGAAAAATAATAACGAACTAGGGCCCCGGTGGGGCACTGGCGGGCCCGAGCCGTGTCGCGCCGCCCCCAGCGCGACCGCTTCCCCTCCCGATCGCGTCACACTCAAGGTCCAAAGATGGTGTGCGCACTTGTCTGTGGTCATTTACCATTATAATGAATGGGAGGCGCAGTTTCTACCAAAACACTCGCTGCAGAGTCCTTTTTGAAAAAATTCTGGACCATGAGTGAGGGCACAAACACAGCTAGTATATATCCAAATGGCAAGTTGCTCCTCCTTTCGGTTTTGCCGAGAGAGCGATGCGTTTGAGCCATATGGATGGGCAGGAAAAACTTCACTTTTTCTCCTGCCATGGGGGGCGCTCTTTTGGGGAGAAAAATTCCTTTACAAATGTGTTGATGGCTGGACATTGCATCATCCTAGAAAACTTGGAGGCCAGTGAGGACAAAAATAAAAAGTTATAAGACTTTTTAAAATGTGGATATTTGGGTCCTCTTTGGCGCCCCCTAGAACGTATACCGTGGGGTGCAGCGTCATGATTTGTACAACTTTGAATGGCCATGGGGTGTAGATTGGCCTGAGCAAATTTGGTGTCAGTGGGACGAAAGCCTTAGGAGGAGTTAGCCACATTCCAATGTGTACGAATCGGCAAAAAATGCGAAATAGCCCTTTAACCGTACATTTTACAGATACGCGCGCATTGACTTTTTCGTAGATCTTATTGAGATACACGTGATTGTCAAATTTTGTGTCAATATGACAAATCGTATAGGCGTGACATTCAACAATGTGTATTTTCGCCTTAGGGGACAAGAAAAAATGGCCTTTTTTCTCCTGCCATGGGGGGGCGCTCTTTTGGGGAGTAAAAATTCCTTCACAAATGTGTTGATGGCTGGACATTGCATCATCCTAGAGAACTTGGAGGCCAGTGAGGACAAAAATAAAAAGTTATAAGACTTTTAAGAATGTGGATTTTTGGGTTATCTTTGGCGCCCCCTAGAACCTAAACCGTGGGGTGCAGCGTCATGATTTGTACAACTTTTAATGGCCATGGGGTGTAGATTGGCCTGAGCAAATGTGGTGCTGGTGGAACGAAAGCCTTTGGAGGAGTTAGCGAAATTCCAATGTGTGCGGATCGGCAAAAAATGCGAAATAACCCTTTAACCGTACATTTGACAGATACGCCTGCACTGACTTTTTTTTAGATCTTATTGAGATACATATGTGTGTCAATTTTTGTGTCAATATGACAAAGCGTACAGGCGTGACAGTCAATGGTGTGAATTTTCACCTTTGGGGGCGCTATGGAGCCATTTTGCATTTTATTGTTTGGGCGACTTCAGAATATCGAATTTTTCACCAGGCCCGGTCGTCCTGCCAAATTTCGTCCTGCCAAATTTCATGAGTTTTCGCCAGTGGGAAGTGAGTTTTTTTCCAGTTTAAAGCGGAGGAAAAATAATAATAACTAGGGCCCCGGTGGGGCACTGTCGGGCCCGAGCCGCGTCGCGCCGCCCCCAGCGCGACCGCCTCCCCCTCCCGATCGCGTCACACTCAAGGTCCAAAGATGGTGTGCGCACTTGTCTGTGGTCATTTCCCATTATAATGAATGGGAGGCGCAGTTTCTACCAAAACGCTCGCTGCAGACAAACTACATGTCCTATTCGAAAAAAGTCTGGACCATGAGTGAGGGCACAAACACAGCTAGTATATATCCAAATGGCAAGTTGCTCCTCCTTTCGGTTTTGCAGAGAGAGCGATGCGTTTGAGCCATTGAGTGATGGGCAGGAAAAACTTGACTTTTTCTCCTGCCATGGGGGGCGCTCTTTTGGGGAGAAAAAATTCCTTCACAAATGTGTTGATGGCTGGACATTGCATCATCCTAGAAAACTTGGAGGCCAGTGAGGACAAAAATAAAAAGTTATAAGACTTTTAAAAATGTGGATATTTGGGTCCTCTTTGGCGCCCCCTAGAACGTAAACTGTGGGGTGCAGCGTCATGATTTGTACAACTTTGAATGGCCATGGGGTGTAGATTGACCTGAGCAAATTTGAAGCCGATGGGACAAAAGATTTAGGAGGAGTTAGCGAAATTCCAATGTGTGCGGATCGGCAAAAAATGCGAAATAACCCTTTAACCGTACATTTGACAGATACGCCCGCACTGACTTTTTTGTAGATCTTATTGAGATACATGTGTGTGTCAAATTTTGTGTCATTTTGACAAAGCGTAAAGGCGTGACAGTCAACAATGTGTATTTTCGCCTTAGGAGACAAGAAAAAATGGACTTTTTTCTCCTGCCATGGGGGGGCGCTCTTTTGGCGAGTAAAAATTCCTTCACAAATGTGTTGATGGTTGGACATTGCATCATCCTAGAGAACTTGGAGGCCAGTGAGGACAAAAATAAAAAGTTATAAGACTTTTAAGACTGTGGATTTTTGGGTTATCTTTGGCGCCCCCTAGAACGTAAACCGTGGGGTGCAGCGTCATGATTTGTACAACTTTTAATGGCCATGGGGTGTAGATTGGCCTCAGCAAATGTGGTGCCTTTGGAACGAAAGCCTTCGGAGGAGTTAGCGAAATTCCAATGTGTGCGGATCGGCAAAAAATGCGAAATAGCCCTTTCACCGTACATTTGACAGATACGCCCGCACTGACTTTTTTGTAGATCTTATTGAGATACATGTGTGTGTCAATTTTTGTGTCAATATGACAAAGCGTAAAGGCGTGACAGTCAATAGTGTGAATTTTCGCCTTAGGAGACAAGAAAAAATGGACTTTTTTCTCCTGCCATGGGGGGGCGCTCTTTTGGGGAGTAAAAATTCCTTCACAAATGTGTTGATGGCTGGACATTGCATCATCCTAGAGAACTTGGAGGCCAGTGAGGACAAAAATAAAAAGTTATAAGACTTTTAAGACTGTGGATTTTTGGGTTATCTTTGGCGCCCCCTAGAACGTAAACCGTGGGGTGCAGCGTCATGATTTGTACAACTTTTAATGGCCATGGGGTGTAGATTGGCCTCAGCAAATGTGGTGCCTTTGGAACGAAAGCCTTCGGAGGAGTAAGCGAAATTCCAATGTGTGCGGATCGGCAAAAAATGCGAAATAGCCCTTTCACCGTACATTTGACAGATACGCCCGCACTGACTTTTTTGTAGATCTTATTGAGATACATGTGTGTGTCAATTTTTGTGTCAATATGACAAAGCGTAAAGGCGTGACAGTCAATAGTGTGAATTTTCGCCTTAGGAGACAAGAAAAAATGGACTTTTTTCTCCTGCCATGGGGGGCGCTCTTTTGGGGAGTAAAAATTCCTTCACAAATGTGTTGATGGCTGGACATTGCATCATCCTAGAAAACTTGGAGGCCAGTGAGGACAAAAATAAAAAGTTATACGACTTTTAAGAATGTGGATTTCTGGGTTATCTTTGGCGCCCCCTAGAACGTAAACCGTGGGATGCAGCGTCATGATTTGTACAACTTTTAATGGCCATGGGGTGTAGATTGGCCTGAGCAAATTTGGTGCCGGTGGAACGAAAGCCTTCGGAGGAGTTAGCGAAATTCCAATGTGTGTGGATCGGCAAAAAATGCGAAATAGCCCTTTAACCGTACATTTGACAGATACGCCCGCACTGACTTTTTTGTAGATCTTATTGAGATACACGTGTGTGTCAAATTTTGTGTCATTTTGACAAAGCGTACAGGCGTGACACTCAATCATGTGAATTTTTCACCTTAGGGGGCGCTATGGAGCCATTTTGCATTTGATTTTTTGGGCGACTTCAGAATATCGAATTTTTCACCAGGCCCGGTCGTCCTGCCAAATTTCATGACTTTTCACCAGTGGGAAGTGGGCCATTTTCCAGTTCAAAGGGGCAGAAAAATAATAACTAGGGCCCCGGTGGGGCACTGTCGGGCCCGAGCCGCGTCGCGCCGCCCCCAGTGCGACCACCTCCCCCTTCCGATCGCGTCACACTCAAGGTCCAAAGATGGTGTGCGCACTTGTTTGTGGTCATTTCCCATTATAATGAATGGGAGGCGCAGTTTCTACCAAAACACTCGCTGCAGACAAACTACATGTCCTATTTGAAAAAAGTCTGGACCATGAGTGAGGGCACAAACACAGCTAGGATATATCCAAACGGCAAGTTGCTCCTCGTTACGGTGTTGCCGGGAGAGCGATGCGATTGAGCCATTGAGTGATGGGCAGGAAAAACTTGACTGTTTCTCCTGCCATGGGGGATGGGGGATGGGGGATGGGGGATGGGGGGGGGGGGGGGGGGAATTTCGATTCTTTTAATAATGTGGATATTTGGGTCATCTTTGGCGCCCCCTAGAACGTAAACCGTGGGGTGCAGCGTCATGATTTTTAAAACTTTGAATGGCCATGGGGTGTAGATTGGCCTGAGCAAATTTGGTGTCAGTGGGACGAAAGCCTTAGGAGGAGTTAGCCACATTCCAATGTGTGCGGATCGGCAAAAAATGCGAAATAACCCTCTAACCGTACATTTGACAGATACGCGCGCATTGACTTTTTCGTAGATCTTATTGAGATACATGTGTGTGTCAATTTTTGTGTCATTTTGCCAAAGCGTACAGGCGTGACACTAAACAATGTGTATTTTCACCTTATGGGACAAGAAAAAATGGACTTTTTTCTCCTGCCATGGGGGGGCGCTCTTTTGGGGAGTAAAAATTCCTTCACAAATGTGTTGATGGCTGGACATTGCATCATCCTAGAAAACTTGGAGGCCAGTGAGGGCAAAAATAAAAAGTTATAAGACTTTGAAATATGTGGATTTTAGGGTTATCTTTGGCGCCCCCTAGAACCTAAACCGTGGGGTGCAGCGTCATGATTTGAATAACTTTTAATGGCCATTGGGTGTAGATTGGCCTGAGCAAATGTGGTGCCGGTGGAACGAAAGCCTTTAGAGGAGTTAGCGAAATTCCAATGTGTGCGGATCGGCAAAAAATGCGCAATAACCCTTTAACCGTACATTTGACAGATACGCCCGCACTGACTTTTTTGTAGATCTTATTGAGATACATGTGCGTGTCAATTTTTGTGTAATTTTGACAAAGCGTACAGGCGTGACAGTCAATAGTGTGAATTTTCACCTTATGGGACAAGAAAAAATGGACTTTTTTCTCCTGCCATGGGGGGGCGCTCTTTTGGGGAGTAAAAATTCCTTCACAAATGTGTTGATGGCTGGACATTGCATCATCCTAGAAAACTTGGAGGCCAGTGAGGGCAAAAATAAAAAGTTATAAGACTTTTAAATATGTGGATTTTAGGGTTATCTTTGGCGCCCCCTAGAACCTAAACCGTGGGGTGCAGCGTCATGATTTGAATAACTTTTAATGGCCATGGGGTGTAGATTGGCCTGAGCAAATGTGGTGCCGGTGGAACAAAAGCCTTCGGAGGAGTTAGCGAAATTCCAATGTGTGCGGATCGGCAAAAAATGCGCAATAACCCTTTAACCGTACATTTGACAGATACGCCCGCACTGACTTTTTTGTAGATCTTATTGAGATACATGTGTGTGTCAATTTTTGTGTCATTTTGACAAAGCGTACAGGCGTGACAGTCAATAGTGTGAATTTTCACCTTAGGGGGCGCTATGGAGCCATTTTGCATTTTATTGTTTGGGCGACTTCGGAATATCAAATTTTTCACCAGGCCCGGTCATCCTGCCAAATTTCATGAGTTTTCGCCAGTGGGAAGTGGGCCATTTTCCAGTTCAAAGGGGAGGAAAAAGAAAAAAGAAACAAAGAAAAACCACTACAGGAATAATAGGGCCTCGCAGCTGCTTAGCAGCTACGCTCGGGCCCTAATAATAAACTAGGGCCCCGGTGGGGCACTGTCGGGCCCGAGCCGCATCGCGCCGCCCCCAGCGCGACCGCCTCCCCCTCCCGATCGCGTCACACTCAAGGTCCGAAGATGGTGTGCGCACTTGTCTGTGGTCATTTCCCATTATAATGAATGGGAGGCGCAGTTTCTACCAAAACGGTGGCTGCAGACAAACTACATGTCCTATTTGAAAAAAGTCTGGACCATGAGTGAGGGCTCAAACACAGCTAGGATATATCCAAATGGCAAGTTGCTCCTCCTTACGGTGTTGCCGGAAGAGCGATGCGATTGAGCCATTGAGCGATGGGCAGGGTTAACTTGACTTTTTCTCCTGCCTTGGGGGGGGGGGGGATGTGGATTCTTTTAAGAATGTGGATATTTGGGTCATCTTTGGCGCCCCCTAGAACCTAAACCGTGGGGTGCAGCGTCATGATTTGTACAACTTTTAATGGCCATGGGGTGTAGATTGGCCTGAGCAAATGTGGTGCCGGTGGAACGAATGCCTTCGGAGGAGATAGCAAAATTCCAATGTGTGCAGATCTGCAAAAAATGCGAAATAACCCTCTAACCGTACATTTCACAGATGCGCCCGCGCTGACTTTTTTGTAGACCGTATTGAGATACACGTGTGTGTCAATTTTTGTGTCATTTTGACAAAGCGTATAGGCGTGACAGTCAACAATGTGTTTTTTCACCTTAGGGGACAAGAAAAAATGGACTTTTTTCTCCTGCCATGGGGGGGCGCTCTTTTCGGGAGTAAAAATTCCTTTACAAATGTGTTGATGGCTGGACATTGCATCATCCTAGAAAACTTGGAGGCCAGTGAGGACAAAAATAAAAAGTTATAAGACTATTAAGAATGGGGATTTTTGGGTTATCTTTGGCGCCCCCTAGAACCTAAACCGTGGAGTGCAGCGTCATGATTTGTACAACTTTTAATGGCCATGGGGGTTAGATTGGCCTGAGCAAATTTGGTGCCGGTGGAACGAAAGCCTTCGGAGGAGTTAGCGAAATTCCAATGTGTGCGGATCGGCAAAAAATGCGAAATAGCCCTTTAAACGTACATTTGACAGATACGCCCGCACTGACTTTTTTGTAGATCTTATTGAGATACACGTGTGTGTCAAATTTTGTGTCACTATGACAAAGCGTACAGGCGTGACAGTCAATAGTGTGAATTTTCGCCTTAGGGGGCGCTATGGAGCCATTTTGCATTTTATTGTTTGGGCGACTTCAGAATATCGAATTTTTCACCAGGCCCGGTCGTCCTGCCAAATTTCATGAGTTTTCGCCAGTGGGAAGTGGGCCATTTTCCCCTTCAAAGGGGAGGAAAAATAAGAAGAACTAGGGCCCCGGTGGGGCACTGTCGGGCCCGAGCCGCGTTGCGCCGCCCCCAGCGTGACCGCCTCCCCCTCCCGATCGCGTCACACTCAAGGTCCAAAGATGATGTGCGCACTTGTCTGTGGTCATTTCCCATTATAATGAATGGGAGGCGCAGTTTCTACCAAAACGCTCGCTGCAGACAAACTACATGTCCTATTTGAAAAAAGTCTGGACCATGAGTGAGGGCACAAACACAGCTAGTATATATCCAAATGGCAAGTTGCTCCTCCTTTCGGTTTTGCAGAGAGAGCGATGCGTTTGAGCCATTGAGCGATGGGCAGGAAAAACTTGACTTTTTCTCCTGCCATGGGGGGGCGCTCTTTTGGGGAGAAAAAATTCCTTCACAAATGTGTTGATGGCTGGACATTGCATCATCCTAGAAAACTTGGAGGCCAGTGAGGACAAAAATAAAAAGTTATAAGACTTTTAAAAATGTGGGTATTTGGGTCCTCTTTGGCGCCCCCTAGAACGTAAACTGTGGGGTGCAGCGTCATGATTTGTACAACTTTGAATGGCCATGGGGTGTAGATTGACCTGAGCAAATTTGAAGCCGATGGGACAAAAGATTTAGGAGGAGTTAGCGAAATTCCAATGTGTGCGGATCGGCAAAAAATGCGAAATAACCCTTTAACCGTACATTTGACAGATACGCCCGCACTGACTTTTTTGTAGATCTTATTGAGATACATGTGTGTGTCAAATTTTGTGTCATTTTGACAAAGCGTAAAGGCGTGACAGTCAACAATGTGTATTTTCGCCTTAGGAGACAAGAAAAAATGGACTTTTTTCTCCTGCCATGGGGGGGGGCGCTCTTTTGGCGAGTAAAAATTCCTTCACAAATGTGTTGATGGCTGGACATTGCATCATCCTAGAGAACTTGGAGGCCAGTGAGGACAAAAATAAAAAGTTATAAGACTTTTAAATATGTGGATTTTTGGGTTATCTTTGGCGCCCCCTAGAACGTAAACCGTGGGGTGCAGCGTCATGATTTGTACAACTTTTAATGGCCATGGGGTGTAGATTGGCCTCAGCAAATGTGGTGCCTTTGGAACGAAAGCCTTCGGAGGAGTTAGCGAAATTCCAATGTGTGCGGATCGGCAAAAAATGCGAAATAACCCTTTAACCGTACATTTGACAGATACGCCCGCACTGACTTTTTTGTAGATCTTATTGAGATACATGTGTGTGTCAATTTTTGTGTCAATATGACAAAGCGTAAAGGCGTGACAGTCAATAGTGTGAATTTTCGCCTTAGGAGACAAGAAAAAATGGACTTTTTTCTCCTGCCATGGGGGGGCGCTCTTTTGGGGAGTAAAAATTCCTTCACAAATGTGTTGATGGCTGGACATTGCATCATCCTAGAAAACTTGGAGGCCAGTGAGGACAAAAATAAAAAGTTATACGACTTTTAAGAATGTGGATTTCTGGGTTATCTTTGGCGCCCCCTAGAACGTAAACCGTGGGATGCAGCGTCATGATTTGTACAACTTTTAATGGCCATGGGGTGTAGATTGGCCTGAGCAAATTTGGTGCCGGTGGAACGAAAGCCTTCGGAGGAGTTAGCGAAATTCCAATGTGTGCGGATCGGCAAAAAATGCGAAATAGCCCTTTAACCGTACATTTGACAGATACGCCCGCACTGACTTTTTTGTAGATCTTATTGAGATACACGTGTGTGTCAAATTTTGTGTCATTTTGACAAAGCGTACAGGCGTGACACTCAATCATGTGAATTTTTCACCTTAGGGGGCGCTATGGAGCCATTTTGCATTTGATTTTTTGGGCGACTTCAGAATATCGAATTTTTCACCAGGCCCGGTCGTCCTGCCAAATTTCATGACTTTTCACCAGTGGGAAGTGGGCCATTTTCCAGTTCAAAGGGGCAGAAAAATAACTAGGGCCCCGTTGGGGCACTGGCGGGCCCGAGCCGTGTCGCGCCGCTCCCAGCGCGACCACCTACCCGTCCCGATCGCGTCACACTAAAGGTCCAAAGATGGTGTGCGCACTTGTCTGTGGTCATTTACCATTATAATGAATGGGAGGCGCAGTTTCTACCAAAACGCTCGCTGCAGACAAACTCCATGTCCTTTTTGAAAAAAGTCTGGACCATGAGTGAGGGCACAAACACAGCTAGTATATACCCAAATGGCAAGGTGCTCCTCCTTTCGGTTTTGCCGAGAGAGCGATGAATTTGAGCCATTGAGCGATGGGCAGGAAAAACTTGACTTTTTCTCCTGCCATGGGGGGGGGCGCTCTTTTGGGGAAAAAAAATTCCTTCACAAATGTGTTGATGACTGAACATTGCATCATCCTAGAAAACTTGGAGGCCAGTGAGGACAAAAATAAAGTTATAAGACTTTTAAAAATGTGGATATTTGGGTCATCTTTGGCGCCCCCTAGAACGTAAACCGTGGGATGCAGCGTCATGATTTGTACAACTTTGAATGGCCATGGGGTGTAGATTGGCCTGAGCAAATTTGGTGTCAGTGGAACGAAAGCCTTAGGAGGAGTTAGCCACATTCCAATGTGTGCGAATCGGCAAAAAATGCGAAATAGCCCTTTAACTGTACATTTTACAGATACGCGCACATTGACTTTTTCGTAGATCTTATTGAGATACACGTGATTGTCAAATTTTGTGTCAATATGACAAAGCGTACAGGCGTGACACTCAACAATGTGTATATTCGCCTTAGGGGACAAGAAAAAATGGACTTTTTTCTCCTGCCATGGGGGGGCGCTCTTTTGGCGAGTAAAAATTCCTTCACAAATGTGTTAATTGCTGGACATTGCATCATCCTAGAGAACTTGGAGGCCAGTGAGGACAAAAATAAAAAGTTATAAGACTTTTAAGATCTGTGGATTTTTGGGTTATCTTTGGCGCCCCCTAGAACGTAAACCGTGGGGTGCAGCGTCATGATTTGTACAACTTTTAATGGCCATGGGGTGTAGATTGGCCTGAGCAAATGTGGTGCCGGTGGAACGAAAGCCTTCGGAGGAGTTAGCGAAATTCCAATGTGTGCGGATCGGCAAAAAATGCGAAATAACCCTTTAACCGTACATTTGACAGACACGCCCGTGCTGACTTTTTTGTAGATCTTATTGAGATACATGTGTGTGTCAATTTTTGTGTCAATATGACAAAGCGTACAGGCGTGACAGTCAATAGTGTGAATTTTCACCTTAGGGGGCGCTATGGAGCCATTTTGCATTTTATTGTTTGGGCGACTTCAGAATATCGAATTTTTCACCAGGCCCGGTCGTCCTGTCAAATTTCATGAGTTTTCGCCAGTGGGAAGTGGGCCATTTTCCCCTTCAAAGGGGAGGAAAAATAAGAAGAAAGAAAGAAAGAAAGAAAGAAAGAAGAAAGAAAAACTCATCAGGAACAACAGGGCTCTCGCAGCTGCTTAGCAGCTACGCTCGGGCCCTAATAATAAGAAGAAGAAGAAGAAAGAAGAATCCATCAGGAATAATAGGGCTCTCGCAGCTGCTTAGCAGCTACGCTCGGGCCCTAAAGAAAGAAAGAAAGAAAGAAAGAAAGAAGAAAGAAAAACCTATACAGGAATAATAGGGCTCTACGCCCGGCTGCTCTGCAGCTGGCTCGGGCCCTAATAATAACAAAAGAAGAATCCATCAGGAACAAGAGGGCTCTCGCAGCTGCTTAGCAGCTACGCTCGGGCCCTAACTAGGGCCCCGTTGGGGCACTGGCGGGCCCGAGCTGTGTCGCGCCCCCCCCCCCCCCCCCCAACGCGCTGCCTCCCCGTCCCATTCGCGTCCTCTGGCCATCGTCCTCTCTGGTAACGCCCATCACTGCAAAGACCCTTTTCCTTCATCGGCGTTTGCTGTTCTTCCTGCCAGTGCGTGTGGCTTTCACTTGCACTTGCCACAGCCAGCCTCGTGAGTGCCTAGCCTATTGGATATCACTGTCACCTACACAGGACAGTCATTACCTTTCTATTAATACTTTGTTTTTTAATTTCACATTAATTTCCATATTGTATAAACGACTGGAAAAAACTTGAGCCCCTGCCCCTGTATAATCATGTGCACGTCCCTGTTCTAGCTCCAAGGTGAATCTTCACTGCTCATGTTCTCCTCAGAAGCAGTCACCTCACTCCCCTCAGGTTACTGTACACATGCACCAACTGCCTGCTTCAGGTTTGGATGGAGCTTCATGGTTGTCTTTTGGAGAAATGAGCAGTCAAGTTGTGTTTGAAATTTCATTTTTTTCAGGGGCAAAAGGAAGTCTCTGCATTGTTGTCAAATATGTAAATAGCATGTTTTTGCAGGTGCTGAAAAACAGACTCTGAGTGTGTATGTGTGTGTGTGTGTGTGTGTGTGTGCGTGTGTGTGTGTGTGTGTCTGTGTGTGTGTGTATCTGTGTGTGTGTATCCTGCAGTACTCTGTACTCCTGCAGTGGCCAAAACGACTTTTAAGAATGTGGGTATTTGGGTCATCTTTGGCGCCCCCTAGAACGTAAACCATGGGGTGCAGCGGCATGATTTTTACAACTTTGAATGGCCATGGGGTGTAGATTGGCCTGAGCAAATTTGGTGTCAGTGGGACGAAAGCCTTAGGAGGAGTTAGCCACATTCCAATGTGTGCGAATCGGCAAAAAATGCAAAATAGCCGTTTAGCCGTACATTTTACAGATACGCGCGCATTGACTTTTTCGTAGATGTTATTGAGATACACATGTGTGTCAAATTTTTTGTAAATATGACAAAGCGTACAGGCGTGAATCTCAACAATGTGTATTTTCACCTTAGGGGACAAGAAAAAATTGACTTTTTTGTCCTGCCATGGGGGGGGCGCTCTTTTGGGGAGTAAAAATTCCTTCACAAATGTGTTGATGGCTGGACATTGCATCATCCTAGAAAACTTGGAGGCCAGTGAGGACAAAAATAAAAAGTTATAAAACTTTTAAGAATGTGGATTTTTGGGTTATTTTTGGCGCCCCCTAGAACGTAAACCATGGGGTGCAGCATCATGATTTGTACAACTTTGAATGGCCATGGAGTGTAGATTGGCCTGAGCAAATGTGGTGCCGGTGGAACGAAAGCCTTCGGAGGAGTTAGCGAAATTCCAATGTGTGCGGATCGGCAAAAAATGCGAAATAACCCTTTAACCGTACATTTGACAGATACGCCCGCACTGACTTTTTTGTAGATCTTATTGAGATACATGTGTGTGTCAATTTTTGTGTCAATATGACAAAGTGTACAGGCGTGACAGTCAATAGTGTGAATTTTCACCTTAGGGGGCGCTATGGAGCCATTTTGCATTTTATTGTTTGGGTGACTTCAGAATATCGAATTTTTCACCAGGCCCGGTCGTCCTGCCAAATTTCATGAGTTTTCGCCAGTGGGAAGTGGGCCAGTTTCCAGTTTAAAGGGGAGGAAAAATAATAACTAGGGCCCCGGTGGGGCACTGTCGGGCCCGAGCCGCGTCGCGCCGCCCCCAGCGCGACCGCCTCCCCCTCCCGATCGCGTCACACTCAAGGTCCAAAGATGGTGTGCGCACTTGTCTGTGGTCATTTCCCATTATAATGAATGGGAGGCGCAGTTTCTACCAAAATACTCGCTGCAGACAAACTTCATGTCCTATTTGAAAAAAGTCTGGACCATGAGTGAGGGCACAAACACAGCTATGATATATCGAAATGGCAGGTTGCTCCTCCTTACGGTGTTGCCTGGAGAGCGATGCGATTGAGCCATTGAGCGATGGGCAGGGTTAACTTGACTTTTTCTCCTGCCTTGGGGGGGGGGGGGGGATTCCTTTAAGAATGTGGATTTTTGGGTCATCTTTGGCGCCCCCTAGAACGTAAACCGTGGGGTGCAGCGTCATGATTTTTACAACTTTGAATGGCCATGGGGTGTAGATTGGCCTGAGCAAATTTGGTGTCAGTGGGACGAAAGCCTTAGGAGGAGTTAGCCACATTCCAATGTGTGCGAATCGGCAAAAAATGCAAAATAACCCTTTAACCGTACATTTGACAGATACGCGCGCATTGACTTTTTTGTAGATCTTATTGAGATACATATGTGTGTCAATTTTTGTGTCAATATGATAAAGCGTACAGGCGTGACAGTCAATAGTGTGAATTTCCACCTTAGGGGACAAGAAAAAATTGACTTTTTTCTCCTGCCATGGGGGGGCGCTCTTTTGGGGAGTAAAAATTCCTTCACAAATGTGTTGATGGCTGGACATTGCATCATCCTAGAAAACTTGGAGGCCAGTGAGGACAAAAATAAAAAGTTATAAGACTTTTAAATATGTGGATTTTAGGGTTATCTTTGGCGCCCCCTAGAACCTAAACCGTGGGGTGCAGCGTCATGATTTGAATAACTTTTAATGGCCATGGGGTGTAGATTGGCCTGAGCAAATGTGGTGCCGGTGGAACGAAAGCCTTCGGAGGAGTTAGCGAAATTCCAATGTGTGCGGATCGGCAAAAAGTGCGGAATAACCCTTTAACCGTACATTTGACAGATACGCGCGCATTGACTTTTTTGTAGATCTTATTGAGATACATGTGTGTGTCAATTTTTGTGTCATTTTGACAAAGCGTACACGCGTGACAGTCAATAGTGTGAATTTTCACCTTAGGGGGCGCTATGGAGCCATTTTGCATTTTCTTGTTTGGGCGACTTCGGAATATCAAATTTTTCACCAGGCCCGGTCGTCCTGCCAAATTTCATGAGTTTTCGCCAGTGGGAAGTGGGCCATTTTCCAGTTCAAAGGGGAGGAAAAATAATAACTAGGGCCCCGGTGGGGCACTTTCGGGCCCGAGCCGCGTCGCGCCGCCCCCAGCGCGACCGCCTCCCCCTCCCGATTGCATCACACTCAAGGTCCAAAGATGGTGTGCGCACTTGTCTGTGGTCATTTCCCATTATAATGAATGGGAGGCGCAGTTTCTACCAAAACGGTCGCTGCAGACAAACTACATGTCCTATTTGAAAAAAGTCTGGACCATGAGTGAGGGCACAAACACAGCTAGGATATATCCAAATGGCAAGTTGCTCCTCCTTACGGTGTTGCCGGGAGAGCGATGCGATTGAGCCATTGAGCGATGGGCAGGGAAAACTTGACTTTTTCTCCTGCCTTGGGGGGGGGGGGGATGTGGATTTTTTTTAAGAATGTGAATATTTGGGTCATCTTTGGCGCCCCCTAGAACGTAAACCATGGGGTGCAGCGGCATGATTTTTACAACTTTGAATGGCCATGGGATGTAGATCGGCTTGAGCAAATTTGGTGTCGGTGGGAAGAAAGCCTTAGGAGGAGTTAGCCACATTCCAATGTGTGCGAATCGGCAAAAAATGCGAAATAGCCCTTTATCCGTACATTTTACAGATACGTGCCCATTGACTTTTTCGTAGATCTTATTGAGATACACGTGTGTGTCAAATTTTGTGTCATTTTGACAAAGCGTATAGGCGTGACAGTCAACAATGTGTTTTTTCACCTTAGGGGACAAGAAAAAATGGACTTTTTTCTCCTGCCATGGGGGGGCGCCCTTTTCGGGAGTAAAAATTCCTTTACAATTGTGTTGATGGCTGGACATTGCATCATCCTAGAAAACTTGGAGGCCAGTGAGGACAAAAATAAAAAGTTATAAGACTATTAAGAATGTGGATTTTTGGGTTATCTTTGGCGCCCCCTAGAACCTAAACCGTGGAGTGCAGCGTCATGATTTGTACAACTTTTAATGGCCATGGGGTGTAGATTGGCCTGAGCAAATTTGGTGGCGGTGGAATTAAAGCCTTCGGAGGAGTTAGCGAAATTCCAATGTGTGCGGATCGGGAAAAAATGCAAAATAACCCTTTAACCGTACATTGAACAGATACGCTCGCATTGACTTTTTCGTAGATCTTATTGAGATACATGTGTGTGTCAAATTTTGTGTCATTTTGACAAAGCGTAAAGGCGTGACAGTCAACAATGTGTATTTTCGCCTTAGGAGACAAGAAAAAATGGACTTTTTTCTCCTGCCATGGGGGGCGCTCTTTTGGCTAGTAAAAATTCCTTCACAAATGTGTTGATGGCTGGACATTGCATCATCCTAGAGAACTTGGAGGCCATTGAGGACAAAAATAAAAAGTTATAAGACTTTTAAATATGTGGATTTTAGTGTTATCTTTGGCGCCCCCTAGAACGTAAACCGTGGGGTGCAGCGTCATGATTTGTACAACTTTTAATGGCCATGGGGTGTAGATTGGCCTGAGCAAATGTGGTGCCGGTGGAACGAATGCCTTCGGAGGAGTTAGCGAAATTCCAATGTGTGCAGATCGGCAAAAAATGCGAAATAACCCTCTAACCGTACATTTCACAGGTGCGCCCGCGCTGACTTTTTCGTAGACCGTATTGAGATACACGTGTGTGTCAATTTTTGTGTCAAAATGACAAAGCGTACAGGCGTGACAGTCAATAGTGTGAATTTTCACCTTAGGGGGCGCTATGGAGCCATTTTGCATTTTATTGTTTGGGCGACTTCAGAATATCGAATTTTTCACCAGGCCCGGTTGTCCTGCCAAATGTCCTGAGTTTTCGCCAGTGGGAAGTGGGCCATTTTCCCCTTCAAAGGGGAGGAAAAATAAGAAGAAAGAAAGAAAGAAAGAAAGAAGAAAGAAAAACCTATACAGGAATAATAGGGCTCTACGCCCGGCTGCTCTGCAGCTGGCTCGGGCCCTAATAATAACAAAAGAAGGAAACATGCAGGAACAAGAGGGCTCTCGCAGCTGCTTAGCAGCTACGCTCGGGCCCTAACTAGGGCCCCGGTGGGGCACTGTCGGGCCCGAGCCGCGTTGCGCCGCCCCCAGCGCGACCGCCTCCCCCTCCCAATCGCGTCACACTCAAGGTCCAAAGATGGTGTGCGCACTTGTCTGTAGTCATTTCCCATTATAATGAATGGGAGGCGCAGTTTCTACCAAAACACTCGCTGCAGACAAACTTCATGTCCTATTTGAAAAAAGTCTGGACCATGAGTGAGGACACAAACACAGCTGGGATATATATCGAAATGGCAGGTTGCTCCTCCTTACGGTTTTGCCTGGAGAGCGATGCGATTGAGCCATTGAGCGATGGGCAGGAAAAACTTGACTTTTTCTCGTGCCATTGGGGGGGGGGGAATGTGGATTCTTTTAATAATGTGGATTTTTGGGTCATCTTTGGCGCCCCCTAGAACGTAAACCGTGGGGTGCAGCGTCATGATTTTTACAACTTTGAATGGCCATGGGCTGTAGATTGGCCTGAGCAAATTTGGTTTCAGTGGGACGAAAGCCTTAGGAGGAGTTAGCCACATTCCAATGTGTGCGAATCGGCAAAAAATGCAAAATAGCCCTCTAACCGTACATTTGACAGATACGCGTGCATTGACTTTTTCGTAGATCTTATTGAGATACATATGTGTGTCAATTTTTGTGTCAATATGATAAAGTGTACAGGCGTGACAGTCAATAGTGTGAATTTCCACCTTAGGGGACAAGAAAAAATTGACTTTTTTCTCCTGCCATGGGGGGGCGCTCTTTTGGGGAGTAAAAATTCCTTCACAAATGTGTTGATGGCTGGACATTGCATCATCCTAGAAAACTTGGAGGCCAGTGAGGACAAAAATAAAAAGTTATAAGACTTTTAAATATGTGGATTTTAGGGTTATCTTTGGCGCCCCCTAGAACCTAAACCGTGGGGTGCAGCGTCATGATTTGAATAACTTTTAATGGCCATGGGGTGTAGATTGGCCTGAGCAAATGTGGTGCCGGTGGAACGAAAGCCTTCGGAGGAGTTAGCGAAATTCCAATGTGTGCGGATCGGCAAAAAGTGCGGAATAACCCTTTAACCGTACATTTGACAGATACGCGCGCATTGACTTTTTTGTAGATCTTATTGAGATACATGTGTGTGTCAATTTTTGTGTCATTTTGACAAAGCGTACACGCGTGACAGTCAATAGTGTGAATTTTCACCTTAGGGGGCGCTATGGAGCCATTTTGCATTTTCTTGTTTGGGCGACTTCGGAATATCAAATTTTTCACCAGGCCCGGTCGTCCTGCCAAATTTCATGAGTTTTCGCCAGTGGGAAGTGGGCCATTTTCCAGTTCAAAGGGGAGGAAAAATAATAATAACTAGGACCCCGTTGGGGCACTGGCGGGCCCGAGCCGTGTCGCGTCTCCCCCCCCCCCCCCCCCCAACGTGCTGCCTCCCCGTCCCATTTGTGTCCTCTGGCCATCGCCCTCTCTGTTAACGCCCATCACTGCAAAGACCCTTTTCCTTCATCGGCGTTTGCTGTTCTTCCTGCCAGTGCGTGTTGCTTTCACTTACACTTGCCACAGCCAGCCTCGTGAGTGCCTAGCCTATTGGATATCACTGTCACCTACACAGGACAGTCATTACCTTTCTATTAATACTTTGTGTTTTAATTTCACATTAATTTCCATATTGTATAAAAACTTGAGCCCCTGCCCCTGTATAATCATGTGCATGTCTCTGTTCTAGCTCCAAGGTGAATCTTCACTGCTCATGTTCTCCTCAGAAGCACTCACCTCACTCCCCTCAGGTTACTGTACACATGCACCAACTGCCTGCTTCAGGTTTGGATGGAGCTTCATGGTTGTCTTTTGGAGAAATGACCAGTCAAGTTGTGTTTGAAATTTGATTTTTTTTTCAGGGGCAAAAGGAGCCTCTGCATTCTTGTCAAATATGTAAATAGCATGTTTTTGCAGGTGCTAAAAACCAGACTCTGAGTGTGTGTGTGTGTGTGTGTGTGTGTGCGTGTGTGTGTGTCTGTGTGTGCGTTCAAGTCACATGACATATTTAACCGGATGTAGCTGCAAGACGGAGCCTCGTTGACTCTCCGTTTCAACTTATCTCAAAAGTGAGGACCTCAACCTATATACCAGTTTTTAAATTGTGTTGATAGGCCAAATAAAACCAGAGTTATGATAAATTATGTCCGCGATACTTTTTTTCTGCTTATTTTGATCACGTTCGGCGCTCGATCGCGCTGTATGAGACAGGAAAACATAGCATGCAGACATTAGCGACAGGTCTTACAGGCGGAAAAGGCTTGCCAAAAGAAAAAAAAAAAACACACCACAACATCTCTCCTATTGGTGGGAAACTTCACCACAACAACCAATCCAAAATTATATGGTGACTGATTGACAAGGGGCGGGCGCTTACGTTCTTCCTGCAACATGAGAAGGGAGGGAGGGACTCTCAGCAGGGATGCAGTCTGGGACACGTAGTTGCAAACCTAGCGACTTTGTTGTTAGATTCAATGACTTTTCAGACCCCCTAACGACTTTTTTTTAGAAAGAAAGGGACTTTTATCGACTTCTTCTGGAGTTTAGAGACTCTGACATGAAGCAGGCTTTCCTTACTGAGGAGTTAGCAACGCTGCTAAGGGTGCAGAGCCACACATGCGCTCAGAGCTCTGCATGGGAGACTGAAGCTGACAGAGCTGCAGCAGTTAGCAGGTTTCACCCTCAGAGACCACCAGGGGTTCATGTTGAGGCATTTTATTTATTTTTTTTTTTTTGTGCCATAGACACTGTCAGCACAATCTGCAGTTACACTAACAAAAATGCTGCAAAAAACAAAGAATTATGGAAAAATTACACATGGACTGACATAGAGGAGGATCTACACAAGTTTGTTACATCATGTTTTACATCATGCATCATTTACATCATGTTTTTTTGTAGTGGCATAAATAAAAAGTGACATTTGTGAGACTATACAGTGTTTTGTAAATAATTTTACAAAGAACGCCTGGGCCATTGCCTGCATTTTGATGTAAATAGAGGTAAATCACTATGTTCTTTGTTAAAAATTTGCATATGTTTTGAAGTTTACAATTTTTATTTGAAGTTTAAGTTTTAAAAACAGTTCATCACACATATTTGTGGTTTAATTTCACATTAATTTCCATATTGTATAAATGACTCGAAAAAACTTGAGCCCCTGCCCCTGTATAATCATGTGCACGTCCCTGTTCTAGCTCCAAGGTGAATCTTCACTGCTCATGTTCTCCTCAGAAATAGTCACCTCACTCCCCTCAGGTTACTGTACACATGCACCAACTATCTGCTTCAGGTTTGAAATGGAACTTCATGGTTGTCTTTTGGAGAAATGAACAGTCAAGTTGTGTTTGAAATTTGAGTTTTTTCAGGGGCAAAAGGAAGCCTCTGCATTCTTGTCAAATATGTAAACAGCATGTTTTTGCAGGTGCTAAAAAACAGACTCTGAGTGTGTGTGTGTGTCTGTGTGTGTGTGTGTGTGTGTGTGTGTGTGTGTATGTTGGCGTGTGTGTATATGTGTGTGTATCCTGCAGTACTCTGTACTCCTGCAGTGGCCAAAAAGACTTTTAAGAATGTGGATTTTTGGGTCATCTTTGGCGCCCCCTAGAACTGCAGTACTCTGTACTCCTGCAGTGGCCAAAATGACTTTTAAGAATGTGGATTTGTGGGTCATCTTTGGCGCCCACTAGAACGTAAACCGTGGGGTGCAGCGTCATGATTTTTACAACTTTGAATGGGCATGGGGTGTAGATTGCCCTGAGCAAACTTGGTATCGGTGGGACGAAAGCCTTAGGAGGAGATAGCCACATTCCAATGTGTGCGAATCGGCAAAAAATGCAAAATAGCCCTTTAACCGTACATTATAAAGATACGCGCTCTTTGACTTTTTCGTAGATCTAATTGAGATACACATGATTGTCAATTTTTTTGTCAATATGACAAAGCGTTCAGGCGTGACACTCAACAATGTGTATTTTCATGTAAGGGGACAAGAAAAAACTAGGGCCCCGTTGGGGCACTGGCGGGCCCGAGCCGTGTCACGCCGCCCCCAGCGCGACCGCCTCCCCCACCCGATCGCGTCACACTCAAGGTCCAAAGATGGTGTGCGCACTTGTTTGTGGTCAATTACCATTATAATGAACGGGAGGCGCAGTTTCTACCAAAGCGCTCGCTGCAGAAAAACTCCATGTCCTATTTGAAAAAAGTCTGGACCATGAGTGAGGGCACAAACACAGCTAAGATATATCCAAATGGCAAGTTGCTCCTCCTTTCGCTTTTGCCGAGAGAGCAGTGCGTTTGAGCCATTGAATGATGAACAGGAAAAACTTGACTTTATTCTCCTGCCATGGGGGGGGCGCTCTTTTAACGAGAAAAAACTCCTTCACAAATGTGTTGATGGCTGGACATTGCATCATCCTAGAAAACATGGAGGCCAGTGAGGACAAAAATAAAAAGTTATAAGACTTTTAAATATGTGGATTTTAGGGTTATCTTTGGCGCCCCCTAGAACCTAAACCGTGGGGTGCAGCGTCATGATTTGAATAACTTTTAATGGCCATGGGGTGTAGATTGGCCTGAGCAAATGTGGTGCCGGTGGAACGAAAGCCTTCGGAGGAGTTAGCGAAATTCCAATGTGTGCGAATCTGCAAAAAATGCGAAATAACCCTTTAACCGTACATTTTACAGATACGTGGCCATTGACTTTTTCGAAGATCTTATTGAAATACATGTGTATGTAAAATTTTGTGTCAATACGACAAAACATACAGGCGTAGCACTCAACAATGTGTATTTTCACCTTAGTGGACAAGAAAAAATGGACTTTTTTCTCCTGCCATGGGGGCGCTCTTTTGGCGAGTAAAAATTCCTTCACAAATGTGTTGATGGCTGGACATTGCATCATCCTAGAAAACTTGGAGGCCAGTGGGGACAAAAATAAAAAGTTATAAGACTTTTAAATATGTGGATTTTACAGTTATCTTTGGCGCCCCCTAGAACCTAAACCGTGGGGTGCAGCGTCATGATTTGAATAACTTTTAATGGCCATGGGGTGTAGATTGGCCTGAGCAAATGTGGTGCCGGTGGAACGAAAGCCTTCGGAGGAGTTAGCGAAATTCCAATGTGTGCGGATCGGCAAAAAATGCGGAATAACCCTTTAACCGTACATTTAACAGATACGCGCGCATTGACTTTTTCGTAGATCTTATTGAGATACATGTGTGTGTCAATTTTTGTGTCATTTTGCCAAAGCGTACAGGTGTTACACTCAACAATGTGTATTTTCACCTTAGGGGACAAGAAAAAATGGACTTTTTTCTCCTGCCATGGGGGGGCGCTCTTTTGGGGAGTAAAAATTCCTTCACAAATGTGTTGATGGCTGGACATTGCATCATCCTAGAAAACTTGGAGGCCAGTGAGGGCAAAAATAAAAAGTTATAAGACTTTTAAATATGTGGATCTTAGGGTTATCTTTGGCGCCCCCTAGAACCTAAACCGTGGGGTGCAGCGTCATGATTTGAATAACTTTTAATGGCCATGGGGTGTAGATTGGCCTGAGCAAATGTGGTGCCGGTGGAACGAAAGCCTTCGGAGGAGTTAGCGAAATTCCAATGTGTGCGGATCGGCAAAAAATGCGAAATAACCCTTTAACCGTACATTTGACAGATACGCCCGCACTGACTTTTTTGTAGATCTTATTGAGATACATGTGTGTGTCAATTTTTGTGTCATTTTGACAAAGCGTACAGGCGTGACAGTGAATAGTGTGAATTTTCACCTTAGGGGGCGCTATGGAGCCATTTTGCATTTTCTTGTTTGGGCGACTTCGGAATATCAAATTTTTCACCAGGCCCGGTCGTCCTGCCAAATTTCATGAGTTTTCGCCAGTGGGAAGTGGGCCATTTTCCAGTTCAAAGGGGAGGAAAAATAATAATAATAACAAAAGAAGGAAACTACAGGAACAAGAGGGCTCTCGCAGCTGCTTAGCAGCTACGCTCGGGCCCTAATTGACTTTTTTCTCCTACCATGGGGGGGCGCTCTTTTGGGGAGTAAAAATTCCTTCACAAATGTGTTGATGGCTGGACATTGCATCATCCTAGAAAACTTGGAGGCCAGTGAGGACAAAAATAAAAAGTTATAAAACATTTAAGAATGTGGATTTTTGGGTTATTTTTGGCGCCCCCTAGAACCTAAACCATGGGGTGCAGCATCATGATTTGAATAACTTTTAATGGCCATGGGGTGTAGATTGGCCTGAGCAAATGTGGTGCCGGTGGAACGAAAGCCTTCGGAGGAGTTAGCGAAATTCCAATGTGTGCGTATCGGCAAAAAATGCGGAATAACCCTTTAACTGTACATTTGACAGATACGCGCGCATGGACTTTTTTGTAGATCTTATTGAGTTACATGTGTGTGTCAATTTTTGTGTCATTTTGACAAAGCGTATAGGCGTGACACTCAACAATGTGTATTTTCACCTTAGGGGACAAGAAAAAATGGACTTTTTTCTCCTGCCATGGGGGGCGCTCTTTTGGGGAGTAAAAATTCCTTCACAAATGTGTTGATGGCTGGACATTGCATCATCCTAGAAAACTTGGAGGCCAGTGGGGACAAAAATAAAAAGTTATAAGACTTTTAAATATGTGGATTTTAGTGTTATCTTTGGCGCCCCCTAGAACCTAAACCGTGGGGTGCAGCGTCATGATTTGAATAACTTTTAATGGCCATGGGGTGTAGATTGGCCTGAGCAAATGTGGTGCTGGTGGAACGAAAGCCTTCGGAGGAGTTAGCGAAATTCCAATGTGTGCGGATCGGCAAAAAATGCGAAATAACCCTTTAACCGTACATTTGACAGATACGCCCGCACTGACTTTTTTGTAGATCTTATTGAGATACATGTGTGTGTCAATTTTTGTGTCATTTTGACAAAGCATACAGGCGTGACAGTCAATAGTGTGAATTTTCACCTTAGGGGGCGCTATGGAGCCATTTTGCATTTTCTTGATTGGGCGACTTCGGAATATCAAATTTTTCACCAGGCCCGGTCGTCCTGCCAAATTTCATGAGTTTTCGCCAGTGGGAAGTGGGCCATTTTCCAGTTCAAAGGGGAGGAAAAATAACTAGGGCCCCGGTGGGGCACTGTCGGGCCCGAGCCGCGTCGCGCCGCCCCCAGCGCGACCACCTCCCCCTCCCGATCGCGTCACACTCAAGGTCCAAAGATGGTGTGCGCACTTGTCTGTGGTCATTTCCCATTATAATGAATGGGAGGCGCAGTTTCTACCAAAACACTCGCTGCAGACAAACTACATGTCCTATTTGAAAAAAGTCTGGACCATGAGTGAGGTCACAAACACAGCTAGGATATATCCAAACGGCAAGTTGCTCCTCGTTACGGTGTTGCCGGGAGAGCGATGCGATTGAGCCATTGAGTGATGGGCAGGAAAAACTTGACTGTTTCTCCTGCCATGGGGAATGGGGGATGGGGGATGGGGGGGGGGGGGGGGCGGGGGGGATGTGTATTATTTTAAGAATGGGGATATTTGGGTAATGTTTGGCGCCCCCTAGAACGTAAACCGTGGGGTGCAGCGTCATGATTTTTACAACTTTGAATGGCCATGGGGTGTAGATTGGCCTGAGCAAATTTGGTGTCAGTGGGACGAAAGCCTTAGGAGGAGTTAGCCACATTCCAATGTGTGCGAATCGGCAAAAAATGCAAAATAGCCCTTTAACCGTACATTTGACAGATACGCGCGCATTGACTTTTTCGTAGATCTTATTGAGATACACGTGATTGTCAAATTTTGTGTCAATATGACAAAGCGTACAGGTGTCACACTCAACAATGTGAATTTTCACCTTAGGGGACAAGAAAAAATGGACTTTTTTCTCCTGCCATGGGGGGGCGCTCTTTTGGGGAGTAAAAATTCCTTCACAAATGTGTTGATGGCTGGACATTGCATCATCCTAGAAAACTTGGAGGCCAGTGAGGACAAAAATAAAAAGTTATAAGATTTTGAAATATGTGGATTTTAGGGTTATATTTGGCGCCCCCTAGAACCTAAACCGTGGGGTGCAGCGTCATGATTTGAATAACTTTTAATGGCCATGGGGTGTAGATTGGCCTGAGCAAATGTGGTGCCGGTGGAACGCCAGCCTTAGGAGGAGTTAGCGAAATTCCAATGTGTGCGGATCGGCAAAAAATGCGGAATAACCCTTTAACCGTACATTTGACAGATACGCGTGCTTTGACTTTTTCGTAGATCTTATTGAGATACATGTGTGTGTCAAATTTTGTGTCAATATGACAAAGCGTACAGGCGTGACACTCAACAATGTGTATTTTCACCTTAGGGGACAAGAAAAAATGGACTTTTTTCTCCTGCCATGGGGGGGCGCTCTTTTGGGGAGTAAAAATTCCTTCACAAATGTGTTGATGGCTGGACATTGCATCATCCTAGAAAACTTGGAGGCCAGTGAGGGCAAAAATAAAAAGTTATAAGACTTTTAAATATGTGGATTTTAGGGTTATCTTTGGCGCCCCCTAGAACCTAAACCGTGGGGTGCAGCGTCATGATTTGAATAACTTTTAATGGCCATGGGGTGTAGATTGGCCTGAGCAAATGTGGTGCCGGTGGAAAGAAAGCCTTCGGAGGAGTTAGCAAAATTCCAATGTGTGCGCATCGGCAAAAAATGCGGAATAACCCTTTAACCGTACATTTGACAGATACGCCCGCACTGACTTTTTTGTAGATCTTATTGAGATACATGTGTGTGTCAATTTTTGTGTCATTTTGACAAAGCGTAAAGGCGTGACAGTCAATAGTGTGAATTTTCACCTTAGGGGGCGCTATGGAGCCATTTTGCCTTTTCTTGTTTGGGCGACTTCGGAATATCAAATTTTTCACCAGGCCCGGTCGTCCTGCCAAATTTCATGAGTTTTCGCCAGTGGGAAGTGGGCCATTTTCCAGTTCAAAGGGGAGGAAAAAGAAGAAAGAAAGAAACAAAGAAAAACCACTTGGGGAATAATAGGGCTCTCGCAGCTGCTTAGCAGCTACGCTCGGGCCCTAATAACAAAAGAAGGAAACATGCAGGAACAAGAGGGCTCTCGCAGCTGCTTAGCAGCTACGCTCGGGCCCTAACTAGGGCCCCGGTGGGGCACTGTCGGGCCCGAGCCGCGTTGCGCCGCCCCCAGCGCGACCGCCTCCCCCTCCCAATCGCGTCACACTCAAGGTCCAAAGATGGTGTGCGCACTTGTCTGTAGTCATTTCCCATTATAATGAATGGGAGGCGCAGTTTCTACCAAAACACTCGCTGCAGACAAACTTCATGTCCTATTTGAAAAAAGTCTGGACCATGAGTGAGGACACAAACACAGCTGGGATATATATCGAAATGGCAGGTTGCTCCTCCTTACGGTTTTGCCTGGAGAGCGATGCGATTGAGCCATTGAGCGATGGGCAGGAAAAACTTGACTTTTTCTCGTGCCATTGGGGGGGGGGGAATGTGGATTCTTTTAATAATGTGGATTTTTGGGTCATCTTTGGCGCCCCCTAGAACGTAAACCGTGGGGTGCAGCGTCATGATTTTTACAACTTTGAATGGCCATGGGCTGTAGATTGGCCTGAGCAAATTTGGTTTCAGTGGGACGAAAGCCTTAGGAGGAGTTAGCCACATTCCAATGTGTGCGAATCGGCAAAAAATGCAAAATAGCCCTCTAACCGTACATTTGACAGATACGCGTGCATTGACTTTTTCGTAGATCTTATTGAGATACACGTGATTGTCAAATTTTGTGTCAATATGACAAAGCGTACAGGTGTCACACTCAACAATGTGAATTTTCACCTTACGGGACAAGAAAAAATGGACTTTTTTCTCCTGCCATGGGGGGGCGCTCTTTTGGGGAGTAAAAATTCCTTCACAGATGTGTTGATGGCTGGACATTGCATCATCCTAGAAAACTTGGAGGCCAGTGAGGACAAAAATAAAAAGTTATAAGACTTTGAAATATGTGGATTTTAGGGTTATCTTTGGCGCCCCCTAGAACCTAAACCGTGGGGTGCAGCGTCATGATTTGAATAACTTTTAATGGCCATGGGGTGTAGATTGGCCTGAGCAAATGTGGTGCCGGTGGAACGAAAGCCTTCGGAGGAGTTAGCGAAATTCCAATGTGTGCAGATCTGCAAAAAATGCAAAATAACCCATTAACCGTACATTTGACAGATACGCCCGCACTGACTTTTTTGTAGATCTTATTGAGATACATGTGTGTGTCAATTTTTGTGTCAATATGACAAAGCGTACAGCCGTCATGTGAATTTTCACCTTTGGGGGCGCTATGGAGCCATTTTGCATTTTATTGTTTGGGCGACTTCGGAATATCAAATTTTTCACCAGGCCCGGTCGTCCTGCCAAATTTCATGAGTTTTCGCCAGTGGGAAGTGGGCCATTTTCCAGTTCAAAGGGGAGGAAAAAGAAACTAGGACCCCGTTGGGGCACTGGCGGGCCCGAGCCGTGTCGCGTCCCCCCCCCAACGTGCTGCCTCCCCGTCCCATTTGTGTCCTCTGGCCATCGCCCTCTCTGGTAACGCCCATCACTGCAAAGACCCTTTTCCTTCATCGGCGTTTGCTGTTCTTCTTGCCAGTGCGTGTTGCTTTCACTTACACTTGCCACAGCCAGCCTCGTGAGTGCCTAGCCTATTGGATATCACTGTCACCTACACAGGACAGTCATTACCTTTCTATTAATACTTTGTGTTTTAATTTCACATTAATTTCCATATTGTATAAACGACTGGAAAAAACTTGAGCCCCTGCCCCTGTATAATCATGTGCATGTCTCTGTTCTAGCTCCAAGGTGAATCTTCACTGCTCATGTTCTCCTCAGAAGCACTCACCTCACTCCCCTCAGGTTACTGTACACATGCACCAACTGCCTGCTTCAGGTTTGGATGGAGCTTCATGGTTGTCTTTTGGAGAATTGAGCAGTCAAGTTGTGTTTGAAATTTGATTTTTTTCAGGGGCAAAAGGAGCCTCTGCATTCTTGTCAAATATGTAAATAGCATGTTTTTGCAGGTGCTAAAAACCAGACTCTGAGTGTGTGTGTGTGTGTGTGTGTGTGTGTGTGTGTGTGTGTGTGTGTGTGTGCGTGTGTGTGTGTCTGTGTGTGCGTTCAAGTCACATGACATATTTAACCGGATGTAGCTGCAAGACGGAGCCTCGTTGACTCTCCGTTTCAACTTATCTCAAAAGTGAGGACCTCAACCTATATACCAGTTTTTAAATTGTGTTGATAGGCCAAATAAAACCAGAGTTATGATAAATTATGTCCGCGATACTTTTTTTCTGCTTATTTTGATCACGTTCGGCGCTCGATCGCGCTGTATGAGACAGGAAAACATAGCATGCAGACATTAGCGACAGGTCTTACAGGCGGAAAAGGCTTGCCAAAAGGAAAAAAAAACACACCACAACATCTCTCCTATTGGTGGAAAACTTCACCACAACAACCAATCCAAAATTATATGGTGACTGATTGACAAGGGGCGGGTGCTTACGTTCTTCCTGCAACATGAGAAGCGAGGGAGGGACTCTCAGCAGGGATGCAGTCTGGGACACGTAGTTGCAAACCTAGCGACTTTGTTGTTAGATTCAATGACTTTTCAGACCCCCTAACGACTTTTTTTTAGAAAGAAAGGGACTTTTATCGACTTCTTCTGGAGTTTAGAGACTCTGACATGAAGCAGGCTTTCCTTACTGAGGAGTTAGCAACGCTGCTAAGGGTGCAGAGCCACACATGCGCTCAGAGCTCTGCATGGGAGACTGAAGCTGACAGAGCTGCAGCAGTTAGCAGGTTTCACCCTCAGAGACCACCAGGGGTTCATGTTGAGGCATTTTAAATTTTTTTTTTTTTGTGCCATAGACACTGTCAGCACAATCTGCAGTTACACTAACAAAAATGCTGCAAAAAACAAAGAATTATGGAAAAATTACACATGGACTGACATAGAGGAGGATCTACACAAGTTTTTTACATCATGTTTTACATCATGCATCATTTACATCATGTTTTTTTGTAGTGGCATAAATAAAAAGTGACATTTGTGAGACTATACAGTGTTTTGTAAATAATTTTACAAAGAACGCCTGGGCCATTGCCTGCATTTTGATGTAAATAGAGGTAAATCACTATGTTCTTTGTTAAAAATTTGCATATGTTTTGAAGTTTACAATTTTTATTTGAAGTTTAAGTTTTAAAAACAGTTCATCACACATATTTGTGGTTTTCACAGTAAAAATGTTACTTTTTTCCACTCGGATTTTATGTTTTGTGTGTGAATTTGGGTCCATTGTGTAAATTCAGTATGTCAACATG